AAACGAGAGAGTTACTCACTAAACTTAGAGATAGAAGACTCATTAAAAATGAACGAGAGAGTTACTCATTAAAACTACCTAAGTCGAAACTTTTTCTTTTATCCCTAAAAGAGCCCGCTGGAGGATTGCTTTGCTTTCTAACATCTCTTTCTGTTATTAAAATGCTCTTTAGCACTAGGCGTCTAGTAAGCGATAGCTATTGCTTACCTAGACAAAGGCCGAAGCACCACAGACACACTTCAAGCACAAACTCGTATTTGTAAATAAATCTAGTTAGAACGGCCTCAGCCAAAGTCTTACATAGCCTCGAGCTCACTAGACTCTAATGGAACAAAAAAAAAAAAGAGTATATTACTAGTGAAAGTAATTTTAGGCTTTCTGTATCAAGAACTCAAAGAGTTGGTTTTCTCGGATGAGAGGCAGGGTGTTGTGGACGATAGTACTAAGTATAGCGACCGCATCGGCATCTTTAGGTAGCACAAATGGCGACGGTGGCCAAGGTCGTGTTGCAATAGTGAGGCTAAGTATCTGGCCGTAGAAGCTTCTAGAAAGCTGTGAGCATAGGCCACAGTTCTTCTCAAAAGCTAACTATTGTAAGGGTAATGTCGAGTTTGTTACGATAGTAACGTACATCCAGCATGACCGTAAAACCCGCCTCGCTGCGATGAATTTGCTATTCATATTTTCCTATTTTTTGTGAAGCGGTTTGAGTCTTTACTAAGAAGTCGTTGTCTACAAAAGCAAACAAAACTCCCAGACAAAAGAACGATACTGAGGGTACTCAAAATCTTAGATATCAACCCCTTGTCTTTCTAATCGGCTCGTAAGTTGCGTGTTTGTGAGTGACTCCGTCAACGACCGCAGCATTTCACAGACCACCGGAAACCGATTTGAGATATTCTGGAGGACTTTTAATATCACTGTTAAAGCCGTCTTTTCTTCAAGAATCTCTAAATCGCCGCCTAAGCTAGCCACTGAATTGAGATGTTGTATCAAAACCCTTGCTGCGCAGTACATGCAATCGTTCATAACAGGGACAAAACATTCAACGTCATAGGCATTCTCTTGGACTTCTACAGCCTTGGAGATGCGAACGGTATTCTCTAGAGGAATTCTACTAGATTCCTCCGCAGTGAACCCAGGGAGAATGGAGGAGCCCTGGAGGGCATCCTCGGAGAAATTCAGACCGCTATTCCTGGAGATGCGGTGAAAGGTGACTTGGATGGAAAAGAATTGGACATGGAGGGCTTGTAGAGAAGGGCTCAGGAGCGGTGTTTCAACATCGCTCCAGGCTATGTCTGAGGGAAGTGCGTTATGCCAATTTTGAAGTGTGTCCATAGTAGCGGCCAGCTGTTCAACATCTTGGCAAGTAATAGGCTTGCTACTGTTCAGAACATCTTGCAGATTAGAGGCGATGATACTTAGCTCGGTCCAAGCTAGTAGGTTACACGGAATCAGATCTGTCGCATCTCTCAGCTTGCTGTTCGTTAGAACTCGTTGGACGGCATCAAAAGGAACGCTTCGCGGCCGACCGATGAACCAGAAAAATATGGTATCGTGGCAAAATCCAACTAGGAACAATCTCTGAGCAAATAAGTAACCTTCTTCTGGGATAGGAGACATATCGTCCAGGCAGGAAGACGGACTCTGATGTAGGCCAAGATCGAATAGCATCCGAAAAGCCACTCCTGAGAAGTAGTTTAGTATGAGTAGTGATTTCGTAAATATCCTGATCATCAAGCTTACCGTGGAAGGTCCAACCAAGATTAACATTCCCAGTCGTAACCTCAAAAGCGCCGAGCAAGATGAGACCCTGCACAACGGCGATGGTAGGATCCTGCAAATAATGAACAAGTGTGGCCTTCGCACGTTGGGCGAATACGGTTCCTGCACTCTGCATAGTTTTTGAAGTACTGTCTCGAGCTGCACACGCAAGCATTATTTCTTCCAAAAAGGGCGAGTACAATTGCGAGGAATGGTTCAGTTTCCTGTCTCGCATGAAGAGTTTCCGACCAACAACAGGAAGCCATATTCCATCAATTCACCAGAAACTTTCCAAGAGTGAGGACCTGAGATACTTGGAATCGAAATTGATAGCCAAAGAATTCTTGTCCGGGTGCTACCTTTTGCCGCTATTCATGCACGCGACATCCAAGTAGTGGTAGGGTTGAGACGTCCACCCAAAAAACTCTGCTTGGCAAACTCGGGGCAAGCCTCCGACGGAAGACCCGCTTCTTTGATCACGTGCACGGCTTTCATGAGAGTTTTGCGGGGAAGTAAGATCCTGTCCATCGTCGAACGCCAAGTCAGAGTTGCCGTGATTCTCTATAACAGGCTGGTAGAGACCAGCTGAAAAAGGCGCTTGTTCTGGAAAAGGGCTGGTTCCAGAGGCATTGGAGGTCTCTGGGTCGTCCAAAGGCGGGAAAGGTACGTTCCAGATGTTTTCGGTTGACGAAGTGGACACCGGATTAGGGTCAGGAAATGTGTCCATCAATGGTGATACGTCCAGGTTGATATTTTCGTAAAAAGCATCTTGACAGTGATGATCAAAATCGATTGTTGCAGTGCTTTCCACAGGTGGGAGCCTCTTGTTTAGGGTAGACTCGAGTGACTCAAGGCGGCTGGTTAAACCACCAATCATTGTGGCCGAATCGTCTCTTCGCCTTGTTAGCATGCCAGTCACTACATATGTTGGCTTGAAGCTCCAGGCCTTTTGCGTCTATCCCTGTGATTACTAACGCATTCGATACTAGCTGACTTGTAGAAAGAGCAACCGCCATCTCCTGATGTCATGATATCACACTGTCATGAAATGAGCCACTAAAGTAAAAGTAGAAAGAGGAATTTCTGATACACCACGTTAGCATCATCATATTCATACCTTTGTTTTGCGGATACGGCAAGCAGTGCAAGCTAGAAATGTCCGCGGACGACCACGTCTAGGCTTAGTCACCGAAGCTCCAGCTCCACGACGATCGGTCGACTGTCCTACGCTAGTTCTCTCCATTGTAGACGACTCTGGTGAGATATTGCATGCTCATGCAAGTGTTCTTCGCAGACGTAGGAGATGATCGTGTCGGGAAGACTTGCACAATACGAAAGTAGCCCCGTGTTCCGAGAACTCCGCAATCTAGCAACGGTTGAAATACCTAGTGTCGCAATGCATCCCTTGGCAATGAGTAAGTAGTTATGGGGCATTCGGCCCGTTACGTGTCAAACAGCGCAACGCGCGCCCCACCACAATCAGCACTACTTACAGGATCCGGGCTATATTATTATTATTATTATTATTCCATTAGAGTCTATCTGCAGTCAGTGACTATGTA